GGGGGGGGGGGGGGGGGGGGGGGGGGGGGGGGGGGGAAATGGACCAAAGTGTCGCGGCGGATGAGCTGTTGGGTTGGCTTGAGCCGTTGCGACACCAGCCACCTGACAAAGGGATCAGCTGTGAGTATCTCAACTTTGTCGTCTCTCGTCTGTCTCACCTCGTCCTCAGGTGGCTCCACCTCACACAACTCAACACTCTGCACGCACCAAAGACAGATTGGCATAGTGCGATTATCGACCACACCTCCCCGCATACTTGTGCGATCTCTTCGATGAAGTCCCAGTGCGAACTGCTGGAGAGGTGGCGCTGCATCTCTACCAGCACCGTCTCGATATCAGCCAAAGGTGGCCGCTCCATCGGGTCCTCTCTCAAACACTGCAGCGCCAACCCACTCAGCTTCTTCACCTACTCCAAGACCCAGCCCATCAGCTTGTGTCCTTCAAGGGTGCTGATGTACTCGAAGTCCTTGCGCACCACAGGCAGGCTGGTGTCTATGTCGTAGAGGCTGCAAAGGGCCTTTTGCCACCTGACGGCTCGCTCGAGGCTCCTCTTACGCAGCAGTCTTGAGAAGTCTTCTTTTGGCATCTCCTCCTTCGCTGCGGACAAAGCAGGATCCCCCCTGACGGTAAATGACCGCTGTGTCTCGCCCCTCAGCACAATGTCCATGGCCAGGTCGATCATCCGACCGCCGGCCATTGCGCTGAAGGGTAAGGAAGGGGGAGGGAGGGGGCCGGCAGTTGGATTGGCGATCTGCTCGTCGGTAAAGATATCCTTGACGAGATTGTCCTGAGCGAGGCTGTTGAAGTCGTGGAAGGCTGTCTTGTGCACTCGCAAATGGTGGAGCAGGCCCCTGATGGCCATGCGGATGCTGTAGGTAAGGTCCCTCAGCCCAGCCTCGGCGAGCATTGGGTCCAGTGGGATCCAAGTCTCCTTGATGATGCGGGGGATGCTGTGCTCGGCAAAGAAGGTAGACGCGTTGCTGTAGTTTTCTGCACCAAAAGGAATCGTTACCAATGGACAGACAGGCGGTTTGCATGCCAAGTAAGTGTCTTATTGTTGGCATACCAGACAGCCAGGGGAACGCCACAAAGATGCACGCCTTCTCTGCGTCTCCCTCCTCCAAGAAGGCAGGTGCCTCTGCATCCAGTTCAGCCTCAAAACGCCTCAGGAAGGGCCCCTTCCCGCCATGCTCCGTCATCATGGAGTCCTCTCGCCTCAGCCCCAGCAGGCTCTTCTCGTAGCGGCTCTTGAGGACGGGGTCGCCTTCTAGCGCATCAGGCGGCAGTATCTTGAGGATCTTGAAGGCCGCCAGCCGTGCATCGCCGTTCTCCTCCTCTCCCTTCGGCCGCCACCGGCCACGAAAGACGGCCACCATACCGTCGACTCCTCGCTCGACGAGCTGCAGGTACCCCCCTGACACGCAACGGTTTCAAACCGCATTTTTCACATCGCCGCTCTCCAGTTGGCGATCTTACCGCACATTTTCACTGTCGAGGCAGCTCTCAAGAACATCCTGAGGAGCACACAGTGTGCTGGAGGCTCAGCGTGAAAAAGTGTCTGATCATCCTGTACTTTTTCATCTGCCTGTCTCTCTTTAAATGTCTCGCCGTCTCCCACGAAGGTTTTCAATCTTCGCTGCCTCCACCGGATCTTTTCATTTCCGGCTCATCTTGCGATCGTCGACGATGACAAGGGGATGATTCATTGCAATTTGCATTGTGCAAAGGCATGGCGCATTGCCGATTCAGTGACCCGGACACTCCAAACGTTTCCACCTTCTCTGTGCGTGTGCAGGTGTGTGTGCTGGGTCGTGCACTCGACCAATGGAGTCTGTGTGGTGCCCTGCTGATTGTGGCGGCGGCTTCGATGATGGTTGTGCAGAAAATGCATGGACGCACGGAGGGCAGGGATGGATAGGAAAAGGCGAGGAGATTCAAATATAGCGTACGAGTTGAGACTCTTTCTGAAAGCCGTTTATGGGTGGCAGGCAGCGATTCCAATGAATGTGCATTTGTATGCCTAGTTGGTGTGTGTCTGTCTGTGTTGGTGTGGCGCTACGTGGTCTGTGTCTCGTTTGTTTTGCATGTGTTTTGTCCGCATTTGACTTCATGTGTGTGTCTATATTGACACGGATGTCTGAAAGCTGACAATCGTCACATGCATACACACCACACATGATCACTACACCACGTCCACACGAATTCTAAGCAGAACTCCTAAGCAGAACACCACCACCACGCGTGCAGCGCGTGACGCAGTGCACGCAACACTCTCTCCCATGCCCTCACTAGCCCTCTCTAGCAGCAACACTTTTCCTCCGCCCGCCATTCCTCCTGTCGCTCTTGGCGTGCACCTTACTGCGATTGTCCCCTTTCCCTCGCCCGAAGAAAAACTCTGCCCAGGTCCTCTCCTTGTTCCCTCCCCTCTCCTCACTCTTGCTTGGGGCCTCCTCCGTCACCGATGGGGCAATAGCGTTCGGCCGAGGGGGTTGTTTGTGCGGTGAGGCAGCCGTCATGGGCACGCGACGGGGCATCACACTACCACCCAAACGGCCCGGTGGACACAAAGCGATTGCCGGCGGCGGGGGATAGGGCAATTTGAGCGGTTGTGGCGGCTGTTGGGGGCCTGAGGAGCAGCCGTACGTATCGGCCCTAGCTGCAAATGACAGGTGGGGCTGCGGATGACACGTGGGCGGTCGAAAATGCAGAGAGTATGGCTGGAATACGACGCGATTATCATGACCGCCTGCTCACACCCACATCCACACAACACATCCTCATGTATTCTGTATTCTGCCATTTTGCCTTCTCTCGCCTCTGCGTACCTCCATATTGCGGCGGGACATGTTGCGGCGGGACATGTTGCGGCGGGACATACTGCAGCGGGACTAGCGGCATGCCGCACAAAGGAGGCGGCACCCGCACCAGCCCATGAGACTGGGCAACGTTGGTTGGGTCCCCCCGACTCACCCCTGGTACGCATAACCTTCCTGCCATCAGTCGTGGTGCTCGCATGTCGGTTGAGACGGCGCTGCCGGGTGAGAGACTATTGAAGGGGTTCAGCAGCGGCTTTGTCACACATGACGCGACGTGAGATGAGGGTGAAGAGGGCGGTGGTTCGGCTGGGCTCTCATTGGCCGCTGGATTGGCCGCTTGCTTCCTCATCGATGACGCTGTCTCCTGCCGCCTTTGGCTGCCTATCTCACTCATCCGTTGCTGTAGATGCACCGGGGCAATACCACCACCGATTGCAGATGTTGCACAACCACCTGCACACACCCACATTCGCACACAATGGAGTGATGTTTCCAAATATTTCGCTCTTGTCTCACTTTTGTTTGGTTACCTCCGTGTTGAGAATACGCCGTTGAGGGAGGGGGGTGGACTAATGGCAACAGCTGGTGCTGTCGTTCATGCAGGTGACTTTGCTGGGTAGCGGTAAAGGTCGATGAAACGGGATGCTGCATGTAGGGCTGAGGAACCATTGTGGCCGGCTGGTAACCAACAAACTGCCCTTCCCTCGCACCTCTGCCCTCACGTAGGGAAGCCGGCATCTCTCTCGACCCTGCCATCTCTCCCCCCTCATCTCTGGATGTCGGTCTGGGCGAGTCGGTTGGCGGCGGTGCACCACCATTGCCTTGTCCCTCTTCTGGCGGCGATTCGGCGGCTGCGGTACTCTGCACTGCCGACGGCTGGGCGGTCTCAGGTATGGGGGCAGCCGATGGGCGAACCATTGACGAATCTGATGAAGGCGTGTGTGTGTTGGCGTTGGGGTTGGTGACGTGTACAGAGGGAGCCTTGGCCATACTGGAAGCATTCAGTGCATCCATTTCCTGCACACACAAGGATAGCACAAGATAGATCACATGAATTACAGACCATTTTCTTGCTGCATACCTGCACCAATGAGTCGATGAGATCCCAATGCTCGTTACTGTTCAGCTGCTGTTCCACTTTTGACAGCGATGCCTCCAGCTCGTTGAGACACGGCCGCTTTGTGGGATCGTCGCTGAGTGCCCTTCGTGCTAGGTCACTCAGCCCTCTTACGCATTCCAACACCCAGCCCAGCTGTTTGTGCCCTTGCAGCATGAGCATGTAGTGAAGCCCGTGGCGGACAGATGGCAGGCCGGTGTCTGCATCGTATAGGATGCAGAGGGTCTCCTTCCACTTCAGCGCTCGCTGAAGGCTCCTCTCACGGAGCACTCTTGAGAACTCCTCTTTCGGCATCTCCCCCTCCGCTTTCGACAAATCAGGATCTCCCCTGACGGCGAATGAGCGCTGTGTCTCGCCCCTCAACACGATGTCTATGGCCAGGCCGACAGCAAACGACAGCACAAACTCTCCCAGCCATACACCACCACCACCACCACCCGCCACACCGAGTAGTCCTCGATCTTGCAAGATCTGCCGGACGTCTCCTGCCGCTTCATGCTCTGGGTTGTCGATGAACGCCATCTCAGGCGACTGTGCAAATGGGCTGACGGCATAGGGGTGCTGGCGGACTTCTGGCTTGTGCGGGACAAGAACCCAGCCTTCTTCTGTCGTCTGTGCATCCGCTAGGTCGATCATACGACCACTGGTTGGCGTGTTGAGGGGGGAAGAGAGGGGGCCACTGTGAGGGTTGCTGATGGCCGTATTGATGAAGATATCCGCCACTAGATTGTCCTGAGCGAGGACATTGTGCTGCATGGCTGTCTTGTGCACTTGCAGATGTTGAATGAGGCCCCTGATTGCCGTGCGGACGGCGAGAGTCAGCTGTAACAGCGCAGCCTCGGCGAACACTGGCTCCACGAACGGAGAGGCCGCAGCCTCTGCGAACTCCTTGACCGCCCGGGCGATGTTGTTCTTCGTGAAGAACACGGATGCCTTAACGAAGTCCTCTGCATTAAAAGCATTGCAGCGGACAGACGGGACAGAGGCATGAAATGAAAAGCTTGACCTTCCGTGCGACTTGCCTGGCAGCCATGGGAAAGCCACAAAGATGCAGAGCTTCTCCTCGTCTCCGTCTCTAAGGCGGGCAGGAGCCTCCACATCCAGTTGGCCCTCAAAGCAGGGCAGAAACGGCCCCCTCCCACCGTCCTCCATCATCTTGGCATGCTCCCTCTTCAGCCCCGCCAGGGACTTCTGGTAGCGGGTCTTGACCACGGACTCCTTCTCCAGGGCAGCGGCCGAGGGCATCTTGAGCAGCTTGAAGGCTGCCAACTGGCCCTCGTCCCCCTGCTCCGCTCCGGCTGGCCGCCACCGGCCACGAAAAACGGCACAAACACCGTCAAGCCCCCGATGGTGCACGAGCTCGAGGGGCATCGTTCGCCCATCAGGGCACAGCAAGGCGGTCTGTTGACTCATCTTCAAGCTCATGTTTTTCACACAGATCTTGCGGAAGCGTCTCAGATATTGGCCCCCACAATTGGGCCCCCAGCTACCCCCAGATGCAGGTGGGATTCATTGCATTCATTGCAGACATGCACCATGACAAGATGGAGAGTACGCACAAGGCAAAAGAGTCAGGAGGCATGTGCACATACACCACTGTGGCAGCTTCAGACACGCATGCCCCTCACAACCAATGCCAGCTACGTGTGTACATACGTATAAAGGGATACATACATACGATCACCATACGTCGGGCTGCGTCCACAGGGTGTACATGGACGCAGCCCCCCTCCCCCTCCCCCTCCACACGCACCCCGAGTAAGGCAAGGAAAAGACAGCAGCCAGCCACACACGACAAAAAACACAAGAAGCGCACACCCAGCCAATCACATCACACGTCAAAACACACAGCCGCACCATCAATCATCCGGCAACAGCGTGGGCTCATTCGCCGCCACAGCAGGGAAAGCAGCAGTCGGGCCATTGACGCCCCCCTGCCGCTCGACCTTGCGGAAGCAGAACGACACCACCTGGCCCTTGATGCTGCTGTACGGCATGGTCCACACCGCCTGGCCGGGATGCTGCTGGAAGGTGCCCTCCGACACCGACTCGACCACCAACTCTGCCACATTCACCCCCACCCAGATGGCGAAGTCGGGCGAGCGGCTGATGATGCCGTCGGTCACGAACAGGTCGTCCTTGTTGATGGCGAGGTCAAACAGCTGGGGACTGCCAGAACGAGCCACCAGCCTGAACGGAAGGCACCCCATTCAGCCACACACAGCCACACACACAATGGGCACGTGTATGCTTGTGTGAGGCTGAGCATATCTTACCCGATGGGCTGGTTGGCGTATGTGAGATTGAGCTCCATGTCACCCTCGTTGTCCTTGATGTGCTCATACAGCTGCGCCTCTGCCGTGTCGACGCCGGCATCGCTGCCGCCCCCCCTCACCACCGTCAGCCAGCTGCAGCTTCACGCTCTTGGAGAATTGAGGCGGGTCACGGATGGTCGTCTTGGCGGGCTGCTTGGTGAAGCCGACCAGCCCCTTGTCCTCGCGGATCTTCGAACAGGGGATGATACCCTGCACGTTGATGGTGGGCGGGAACTGTGGATTGAACACCGTGATGCCCAGCCGCTTTGCCGTGAAGGCCATCTTGCTGCAGCACGTGCCGAGGGCAGTGGAAGAGACGAGAGGGACCGCCAACAGGGCCGCTGCTGCAAGTGGCGGCAGGGACTTCTCCTCGATGGCCTGGTCAGCCACAGGAGAAGTCCTCGAGGCGAACAGCCCTCGACGTGTGCCGACGAACCGACGAAGGGATGTCGACCCAATTCTTATGATTATCTGCCGGCTCTTGCAAGCTGATACGGCTCTTGTGTGTGCCGCCTCAACTCAGCGACCGCCTCTCCGCCTCTTTCTCGCCTTTTCCTGCCGCGATCATGGACAGCTCGCAGCGAGCTTTCAAGCGAAAAAGGGAAAGGCGACGAAGCTGCGCATAGAGAAACGTGTTTGGTTACGTTCTCAGCATAACAACAAGAAACCACTGGCAGACAGTGACCTTGATCTCCCTTGAAGCTCGTGCCCCAGGCGATGCTGCTGTTCCATTTCCGTGAGGGCTGAGTGACCCGATGGCGTTCAGCCCCTCCAGCTGGTTCAGGGGATGGGGATTCGGGGCGTCAGAGGCCGCCCCCGTGGCCACCAGAACCACACTCGACCCGCCATCGCAGATGCCGCAAGCATACTCACGCACGACGACGGGAGGGTATGCCTATGGTGCTACTGCCAACACACAGACCACTGCGAGCCCATACACACAAGCTGCATATTCTGGAGGTGAGAAAAAGGGAAGAGGGGCAGCCAGTCAGTCAAGCTTGCTTGACGTGACGGGATGCACTGTTGTGTGTGTGTGTGTGTGCAGGTGCTGCATATAGTGGTGCCAGTGGTGCGGTCAGTGTGTCCATTCCTCAGCGCGGAGGTAGCTCATGGCGGCCGCCGAAGAACACCAAGACGGTAAGCCGCACAGCACTAGAACCGAACCAACCATCTTGGTGTCTGTCTGTCTATCTGGTTGGATCAGCAAAGGCAGCCTCTCCGGCTGATTGACGTGGTGAAGCGGGGGAGCAAGGAGGTCTTCGAAATCGGTACGTACGTCTGAGAGGGCGACAACGAAGATACACACGAGGTGGAGCTTGCCACTTGTGTGCGCGGTGTGGGCTGTATTATAGGGGAGGAGGCGCTGCGTCATTTGGAGGGATTGGGGGGCAAGAAGGTTGGCATCATCAGTGTGTGCGGCCTCTATAGGACGGGCAAGAGCTACCTGCTCAACCTCTTCATGGACACGTGAGTGAACTGAAGACGATATATCGACCAAACAAGGGACAGTCAGACCCAGCTGCCTGTGTGTGTGTGTCAGTGTGGGTGAGAGCGGGAGTGCCTTCAGAGTTGGCGACACCGTCCACGCCTGCACCGACGTACGTGAGCCCACCCAATGGCACCACAACACAATCAAAACATCATGGATGCGCCACCAGAATGGAATGCCGCTGTACGTGTGGTGTGCAGGGAATATGGATGTGGGGTGCCTTGGAGGATGAGGACTGCGTATACATACTACTCGACTGCGAGGGCACCGGGTAAATGACCACCACACACACACACACACTACACTGCAGACAGCCAGAATCTGCATGGAGAACAGATTAGTGGATGGATGGATGAATGTGGGTATTGTTCCTTCAGCGACACTCGGAAGGACAAGCAGCACGACGCGAGGCTCTTCTCACTGGTGAGCCAGCAACCAACGTCAGCACACTATACATGCAGCTCTCTGATCGTCCTTTCTGCGTGAAGGCTGTGTTGGTGTCGACCTACTTCATCTACAACAGCAAGGGCATCATCGACGAACAGGCCATCCAGGGGCTCTCAATGGTCAGAAGACAACCACACCCATCAGCACCGATTTCCCTTTCTGCTCTCTGCCAGATAACTCAGCTGGTGCAGCACCTTCGCAAGCAGATGGGCGACAAGGGCGGGGCGGGGCTGGGTGGCGGCGGGCCCATGTGGACGCCTCCCATCTTCCTATGGGTCCTCCGCGACTTCATCCTCGAGCTGCGCGACCAGCAGGACAACCCCATCAGCGCCACTCAGTACCTAGAAATGGCACTCGCTGACAAGACATTCGCCGCGTTCAAACGAGAAGACACACGGTGAGGGTGACGACACAGAGGGGGTAGGAGAGATGCATCGGGCAGCGTGTGATGTCATTGTGTGTGCAGGAAGGTCCGTGAGTGTCTGGTTGACTTTTTCCGTGAGCGCGACTGCATGACGCTGGTGCAGCCGCTGATAGAGGAAGACCAGCTGCAGAACCTGCACAAGATCCCGTTCTCCCAACTCAGACCTGAGGTACCTCGTCACTGACCACACGTCATCGGGCCAGCCACCCATCCGCCCATTCATCGAGTGTGTCTATGTGTCCATCCATGTGTGTGCCAGTTTCGTCAGCAGGTGACGGCGATTCGGCAGAAGGTGTTCACCGAGACGCACAAGAAGGCCGTCCAGGGGCTGCCCCTCAATGGTACCGACACACATACGGCAACCGCACTTGTGTCTCCGTGTGTGGTCAGGCAAGTCGTTTGCGCGCCTGCTGAAGGCCTACGTAGAGGCCATCAACGCCGGCGGCATCCCCCCCGTCGTCTCTACCTGGAACGCCATCCAACACGACGTACGCAACACAAAAGACACACAAACACACCACCCACTGCTGTGTCCCTTGCCTTGCCACCAGGAGTGTTCCAAGTTGTGTGAGCGTCTGGGCCAGCAGTTTGTGCAGCGACTGGATGAGGCTGTGCAGGGCCGCACGCCGATGCCCGAGAGCGAGATCGAGGCCATCGTGTCGCGTCTGAGGGCCGAGGTGCAGGAGACCTTCAAGCGTGACGCGCTGGGCGAGGACCATGTGGTGGCCTCCTACGCCAATGAGCTGGACCAGACCATTCAGCACGCTCTCAGGCGGACCAACGCCGCTAACGAGGTGACGATGCACCGCGATCTAGGTGATGACACACATCATTCGCGTGTGTTTGTGTGGTCAGGACGGTGCGCGTCGTCAGGTGCATGAGTGGCTTGAGGCGAGTTTCCAGCAGGTGTGGCAGACCGTCAGTAGCAAGCAGTTCTCGTCCATGGAGGACCTATCGCACCAAATCGACGAAGCCAAGAGAAGGTAAGTAACCCCTCCCATCCACCGAGTGCCATCCGTCCATCCATCCATCCACTCATCCACTCATCCATTTGCCGTTGTTGTCGTTGTCTTGCGCCGTCCTCAGGTATGCGGGCATTGCCAAGGGACCCCAGCAGGTGTTGGACGAGGCCCTGCGCGAGTACCTCGAGCGGGTCGTCAGGGGGGCTCAGCGGTGCCTGGAGGACGCGCAGCGGGAGAAGGAGAGAGAGGAAATTCTGCAAAAAGAGGTAGGTATGCCCGCAGACGTGCATCGCAACCACCTTGCGGCATGTATGTGTATGTGTGTGTGTGTGGGCTATGATCAGCGAGAGCGTGCCGAGGCAGAGGCGCGTGCGGCAGCTGACGCGGACTACCGTCGTCAGCAGGAGAGGCTGAGGGAGGCCGAGACGGCGGCGGCCGAGAGGCAGGGCAAGGTGGATGAGTACATCCAGCAGCTCGAGAAACAGACACAAGAGAAGGAACGGGTTGAGGCGGAGCTGCAGCAGAAGATCGAGGCACAAGCGTAAGTGAAGCCCCGAATCACACCCACACATCCATCCACGTGTGGCATGGACAACGACCCCCTCCTCTCTGGGTATGGTTCCCTGTGGTAAATGAGTGCAGTCAGGAGCGGCAGCAGACCGAGGCGACAGTGCAGGTGCTCGCGCAGCAGGTTGAAATGATGCGACAAGAAATGCAAAAACAGGTGCCTATCCACCAAACCACCCGCGGACAACAGAATACAACACACCACACCACACCACACCAAACCAAAGCATCCCATCTCCTTGGTGCAGGCTGAGGACCGAGAGAGGGAGCGTCGCGAGGAGCAGGAGCGTCGGCGGAAGAAGAAACAGGACAAAAAGAACAAGCAGCAGCCGCCCAAGCAACGGCGGGGCCTCTGCAGCTGCACCAGGCCACCACCAGAGAAAGATGAGGACGAGGATGCCGACGAGGACTCGCCATAGGCCAGCCAGGGCAGCCCGGCTGTTTGTGCAGTGACTGCAGTGCGCTGCGCACCATCATGTGTGTAGAGGGAGGGACTTGCTGAGGGTGGGGCGGGTGGTGTTTATATGTATCGATTGCTTCTGCCTGTGCGTGCACGTCGGTGGTGTGATGACACGGACGGATGGAGGTATGTAATTGATTGATTGACCGGTTGGTTGCTGTCGCGACAGCAACGGTTCGGTGGCCTATAGACCCAATGCATGCCATCGGTTGACGTGAGGCCGCTCGTAAAACGGCGAATGCATAACAAGTCCTTCAGTCAGCTGACCC